CAATCTGAAGCCGCCACTCTGATTGGTGTTTTTACCTTTCGCGTTCTGATTTGATGCGCGCATCTCTTTAGCCAATTAAGCAGCGGTAAGATTGCACGCATAGGCATACACACGCATGTGCCACTTGCCTTGGGTGTGTGCATATGTGCATCTCGTAGATAGATTAGGGCCTGCTCACTTTCCATCCATTCAAAGGCGGGCATGTCCACTGTGCCACCGGTGCCTCAGTGGGTGCACGGTTTGACGAAAATGAGTCAAAACGACTTTCAGTCAATTTGTAAGTTGGCCCTGCCTCACGCAGTGGCGAGTGAGGGCAAGCCGACGTCTGAGGTGGTTGATAAGTTGGGCTTTTTGAAATCTCCAGTGATGAAGAGAGAAGGCAACGTTATATCGCCGCCCAAGACGCTGGGTCGGTTCGTGCACTTCCTGCGCTGCTCCCTCTGCGGCCTCGAGTCGATCAACAAGACGCGCTTCGACAGCCACCTACCCTGCAGCCAGATGGGCAATGCCGAACACCGTTACTATCTGCACACCTGCTCCTCCTGCTTTGCTTGCTCTACCTCTCAAAGCCTCATGGACGAACACATTGACCTCTTCCACAAGGGGACTCAGGTATGTCCTACCCCTTTTCCCTCCATTATCAAACACTTCTATGCGAGTGTAGTTTTTTTGCAAACTCCTCTCCGAAATGTAACTCGGTTGGATTAATTATCTCACCTACCTTCCGAAACGTTATCCTATACTTTTTTGAATATCGCAAAAAACAGATCAACTTTCAAATGTGTCTCTTAAATGGCTCAATTTCAATAGCTCTTATTGAAATGCAGTTTAAAGTCGACTGATGGTGTTCCCAACTTCTTAAAATTCCTAACGTGTATCTGTGCTGCCAAATGTTTCTTAACGCGCTCTAGGAGCACGATGAAGCTTAATGTTTGTCAACATTTCAACAAATGATCTTGGCCGTACTCAATTTAAAAGTTTCCCGAAAACTTCATTAGCTCTGTTATGGTATCATCCGGACTCGTGAGAATTTCTAACATGTCCGGGTGATAACTCACGGTGCGCGTTACCGTGAGAAGGACCATGGTTCAACTTCGATTCTTACACTTTCAATTGATGTGATAGATCGCAATGCTCTTCTAGATTTGTCACCAAGTATTTTTCCCAAGATCGTGCATTGTAGACTGCGATTTTTATGCAATCAATGCTATTATGGACTTGTACAAGACTGCCTTGGTAGTGATAGCCACCTAGAAGCAGCTTTGCAATTTTTAATGCATCACTATCCATTTCCATTTAAGGCTATCGTAAAATTATTCACAAATTATTTTCCACTCCTACTGAATGGGTTGAGCCAGTAAGGTTTAACCATATTTGCAGTTTCCAAAAATGTGTTTGAGCTGGGAGAACTTCCTTACTCTCTATGCAATTAAAAGATGTCTGCCACCGAGACTTACGTACTCTCCTAATAGGTTTCACTAAGTTTTCTTAGCTTTGGTGCATCAAGAGTGTGAAATAAAGACTTGAAATCTAAGCCTTTTTCTAAAGTTTATTCTTTTTGGAGTTATCGAATAGGTTTATCTTCTATTGGACCTCTATATCATGAAAGTCGATGGAGTTGAATCCCCTGATTTGATTCGGCACTTGAGGTCAATTTTTTACCACATAAACAAGTAGAGGTCGTTATTCAGGAAAGGGGGGAAACTTTTATTATAGCTTAATCGTGCGCTTGTGCGTGTGCGTTATTCCCGGCCGGGATTGACTTCGTAAACAGCCCTGTGTGTATGTGTCGTAGCGGTTGAGCTGGGGTCATGTCAATGACAAGATAAACAGAACGATTCCTTGTCCTGATTAGAATTTAGAAGACTTACGTTGCATCAGCCCCTTCGCTTAATATTAGGATGCCATCTTAGAACTTCCTTTTCATTTGAGTGCGACCCAAATGGAAAACTACAAACCATGATCAACAGAAATATGGCCAAAGGAAGAAATAGTTTATCGTGAAAACCCGCCACTTCTGCTGTTCTGTCGTCTTACGCATTGATGCGAAATAATGTGAACTGAGTGGCATTCCATCCCGCGGTATTTCGGTCCTGACAGTACATTTTTTACACCTGATTCAGCACTTGTATTCCCAAATCTCAAGTATGAAATATGCCAATTAGTTACTAATATCCGAGTTGTAGCATGTATGATGTGTTTTATACCGCTTTCTTTACTCACGCAACTATTAAACGACCAGCATGTATGATTTTTATGTTCTTGGTCTGCGAAGCACCCCTATAATCAAAAAAACCTTTTCAGGTATTTCCATTTTCTTTTAATACGAAAACGAATAAGACTTCTAAAATTTGTCAGTATGATCGCAAAGACCCACTATTTGTAAATCACCCCAAAGTGGTAAAGTATTTCATTTAATTTGCTTGCTTTAAACTGCAACAATGGGCAATGAAGGCAACCACAAGATAAGGAAGCCTAAAGTAGATGGATGGTATTCCTCTGGCAGGCGGCTATTAAGGTGCACTCCCAAATTTCATAGTCCCAGTTAGGAAGGAATTGGGCTTCGCGTGTGCGCCACAGCTCGATAAGGGTAATATCATTCATTTTATTAACGTCTTCACCTCCCGCGCCAACGACTACGAAGTGTAAGTCTAAAACGACCCCCGGTCGTACGGGCGGCAGCACAAGCCACTGAGTGTATTTATCGTTTTCTTAACCCCATACACATTAAGACGAGGGGACGAGGGAACTAAATTTTTTATTGTTGGACCCGTATGCTGCATAATTTTGAGTAGTTATGAGTCGTCCACGCAACTATTGTTGGAGGTTCCGTCAACCGGCCGTTTTTTCTGTCTTCCCCATAATGTAGTTTTATCTCGCAGACTTTGACGTGCATCGCTCCTCGACTTCATTACGCAACGTTTAAGAGCAGAGTCCATACTCCATAATTCCGTAAAATCAACGCGTCAAATAGATGATTATTTTTCAAAGAAACACGAATTTATTGAAATAAATGGATAAGTGGACTAATGTGGAATATAACTGGGTTTTGTTTTCATGTGAGAGATGCATTTATTTGAGATGAAAAAGTAATGTGCGGTCGGTGCGACTCAACTAAGCTAGGCTCGCGCTTCAAATACAAAGTCGAAATGTAATGAAAAGACGTGATTTATAATCCAATTCAAATCTCCCTAAACTGAGAATGATTATCTAGTACTAGGGTATCCTCAAGTTTCGCTTTCCGTGCGAGGTAAACCCGTTGCACAGGAAGTACCCTTCTCACTCTGCCAGACATCTCGGTGTAGGCTAAGGCCAAGCCAGTTTATCCCCCCGGAAGTCAGGTAAGGAGACTTAATGAAAGCACTCGCATACCGAAATCTAATTTCCGCTTTTTCAACCCCCCCAGGATACAGGTAAGATAAGTTGATTGAAATGCCAATGCAAAGGTGTGTGTATGTTTGTGAGTGGCCACAGAGATATAGATTTCGCTCAAACCTAATCAAAGGCTGCGAATGGCCGGAAAGAGTTTAAAGGTTGTGGGAATTTGATATTTTGAACGAAAAATTAACTGCTAGAAGCCACGCAATTATTAGTAGGAAAAGTCAACTGCACACATGCACGCATGCGCGGACGCATGCATACCTCCTTATTACACCTGTGGGAACGGGAATGGGGGAGCGCAGACCACCATCACCACTTCTCCCTCCCCAGACCGCCCAGGCTGATTGGCAGGGGAACATATGGGCTGAAGTGTAGTCAGATTTCACTTGGCTGGAGGTAAGAGGGGAGTCGGAGCTTACAAGTGTTCCGTGACGTACTATAAGTCGACGACGATAGTGGTCCCTATTCAGATCGCAGTCTGTTAGCGTTTTCCCACCACTTCTCTTGAACGTGACAAACGGTTTGCACACCCACCTGGACCTCTGTATAAATTGAAGATGATTTAGAGGACTACTTTCCATCGTAAGCGCGTGCACATACGCATACCTTGTTTCTCCCTCTCCCTCTCTCTCACACACACAGACGACGCATTCAAAGGGATTGCGGTAAACATAAATTGCCGTCGTCATCCCCAAGACATATATGTGAGAGACCTCCCGGTCGCGCCTTTTCGCGACCTCCTACTGAGCACACGAACCCACCTTCCCAACTGGTATTCCACCCTTTCATCTTAAGGTCTTGTGTCACTTGGATAGGAATGGCTTATCTTAATGACCGATTAAAAGGAATTTGCCACGAATAGTTTTTAACAAGCCCATATCACGGATAAATGAAATCAGGTTGATAGAATTGTGGCATCTATTGGGAACAGTTTATGAAAATGGCTCTACATCAGGTGGGGCGCGGGGTGCCATGTGATAAGGGCATGTCCATAACATTACATTAAGCTATGGGGGAGGAAGTGAACTCCCAACTACTGATGTTAAGAGATTAATCAAATCGTCAGACCGTTCAGCTCCACATCACACGACTGACTTCGATCACTTCAACTGATCAGCCCATAATTCACGTTCGGTAATGATAATTCCCTATGACACGTGTGTGCACTCGAAATACGTATTCGGATTTCCGTGACTTAACTAAGCATAGGTTAGTCGATGATTGCCCCTTGCGACTATTCGGTCCTATTTAAAACGCTAAAGACCTGGCTGGTAAGGCGCGGCAAGATTGTTTAGCCTCAGGGGACTGACGCTTCAACCCTACTCTCCATCATATTTTCCCGATGAATGATTTTAGCCCAGCACCCTAGAAACAGGGAGAATTATTTTGTTTGTGAGCCTGAAAATAAGAAGTGTACCCAGCATTTCTCTTATTCTATTAGGGATTTCGTTTAGGTTCAAATTAAACTAACATAAAGTTGTTTAAATTTTGGAACAAGCTCCGAGTGGCGGTGGGTTTCATAGTGAAAATTCACCTCCAAATTTGTACTTGCAGGATGGCGAAACAAAAATGACTTAACAAAGGTTCGAATTGGCATAGTTCACCTTTGATGATTAAGTATATTTCTTATGAGGAGGGTTGAAGAAGTGGCAACCGTGTAAGTTGTTTAGTCGCCACGGTATGTCGATGAGAGGCACCGATTAATATTGTCCGCTGCCCACTCGGTACCACTGGCTTTTGGGACGTGGCGCCACTTGATTAAAATTTTACACCTCATGGCGCCATTGCCCGTCACACACATAACCTGCCTTTTACCCAGCCCTCCTCTCTCCTCACCTCGCCTCGCCTCTCCCCTCATCTCACCTCCTCACACATGCGCATTGCTTGCTCGAATAGCGGAGAGGGGCGAAGGGAGCTTGTCACCTCCCCCCTCCCCCTCCCCCCCCCAAAAAAAACAGTATTTATGCGCACTACCTTCCGGAGCAACTCTCCCTGAGTTGTTGTCATCCCCCTCTGCCCTACCCCTCCCCCACCTTCGCCTGCATACCCTGGCGTATGCAATTTAATTAAACCTGGCGGCAGGACAGGTGAGGCGGAGTTGGGAAGGGGAGAGGTGTGAAAGAGCTTGAAGCAAACTCGAACAAATTTATGCGCGCTGGACATTAATCCATTTAAAAATGCCATAAGTTAATTGGTTAAACGCAATTTCTGCTTGCCACAATGTAGCTGGTTAAACAAACACAAAAGTGCAATAAGAGATTGCTTAGAACATTCGATATGTCCTTTTAAACAGTATCAGAGACATTAATCCCAAATCAAGGTTGTTTTTTTTGTATTTCACTGATTCCAAATTAGGGACTCAGAGAGTGAATAGGCATTACTGGATAGATGATGGAAGAGAAGATTGGCGATGCTGCGTTAAGAGTTACCCTTTATTCATCATTGTGTAGATTCGATTAAGGTAATGCCGGTTTGGTACTTTTTATACTTCTAGGGAAAGCACATGCACACGTGTGGTCTATTGAAATATCATTTATCAAGGGGCTTTTCGGTGGATGAGGGTTGGTTAAGTGCGGACGCCTTAGAATACCCCAATTTAATGGTCCTGCCTACAAACTACCAAATTCCTTGGGCAGAAAGTTCACGCAGATGGGCCTTATCGGCAAGGCTGTCTGATTTCAGGCGCTTAATCATCCTCCTGGATGTGTGCGTTTCCGTTCTGTAGTTTTTCACAGTGTCCCATTGAGGTTTACACCTGGGCGTCGGATCACCGTTACTGTTGAGCTTCCCAAATTCACTACAATTTGGTAGGAGCATTCACAAGGCAGAAAAGTGAGCGCATAAAAATTATATTTGATTTGTACAAGGTTATGTTTGAGTGTGTTCTATGTAGTTACTGACGCAATAACCTCACTGAAATTCGTGCGCTACGCATTTAACCGAATTGAGGGGGCTGACGGGGGGATCATTTTAAATGCAATGAACGAAATCATATTTGGGTTATCAAAGTTGGAATGTGCAGTTGTGTCGACAGCTAAAGCCTGTGCATAAGCGCACATTCTTTCTGAGAGGAAGAGATATGCATGCTTTAGGGTAACTGCATGATAAATAGTGTCAATTTGAAGGATTCCACATACTACCTCTTCACTAGTTCCCGCACCGTTTGTCGTTCCACCATATTAATGACTGGTCTTGTATTGTGCTGCGTCTGCCCAATTGGAAAGAGTCCAAACGAATGCATACAGGACATATGTAGTGATGACATTATACAATTACAGGGCATCAACTGGTCTTGACTTTAGGCGGAATTGATCAGGACTCAGGAGGTGCTCCGTCCGGCTGCCATGACGACCTCGATGACGCCGAGTGCCCACTCCCCCACCTCGGTGGCCACGAACACCTCAGGTTCGAGTCCACCCTTCAGGCGACCAAACAAATCCTCCGAGTTTACACCAGACGTCTCTAAGAGGGGTGACGACAACGGATGTCTTGACCTGAGCACCAGCGCCATTACTACTATGAATGCCGCTGCCGCTGCAGCCACCACGATGTCCTGTGAAGAGCAGACGAGGGGTGGAGTAGAGTACCTCAAAAAGTGTCACATTTGCAGTGCAGAGTTGACAGGAGGTGTGGATGAGTTGACGAGGCACCTAACCTTTGTGCATTTGATCCCTATGCCTCTGATGCTCGGTCAGTTGGCTGCCATGGCTGTTGGAATGAAGAGTGGGCAAAGCAAACCCTTCTCCCCTTCCACCTCTTCCGCCACCAATATTCCACCACCGCTGCCACCTCCTCCACCATCCCTACCATCACTTTTGCCAATTCACGAAAATATGCCACGTAAGTTGCCTTTTTAGTCCCCAGAACCCATGAAAATATTCAATCTTCTAGCATTTACATTCTTATATAAATTAAAGCATTTGAGTTTTTTGATAAAAGTTATGACATTTTCAGTGATATTACTATTCTTAGAACTTCATGCTCGCGCTGTCAGATCCCGCAGACGTCTTTTATGGCATGCAATCAAAGATTTTCAACAATTTTTCAGCCGTGACAAAGGATTAAATTTTCTTGATTGCATAGATGGCGGTTGGGACATTCCAAGCCTGTTGGCGGTATCGAATTCGTTGGGGCGGAATTCCCCGGGTGAACGACCACCTCAACTGTCCTTCCCCTTCGGACAGTTTGACAGTATGCCTCAACAAACCCCACCTCCTCCACTCCCACTAGGCTCGAAAAATTTCTTCGGACTCAACTTCGATCTGCCTCCGCTGCCCCTACTCGAGCGAAATGGTGAAATAGGTCCTCGCCACCCCTCGACCTCGGAGCCGGAGTTCAAACGCGCACGTATTGATCCTCCGCTTGGTAAGACCCTTCTCGCAAAAACCCCCAATGACTTTATACCTACTCGTTTGCTACGAGTACGACCTCACTTAAGCCCCCGTTTCAAGCGAAATAGTGAAAAAGCTTTATTTGTGTGATTGGTTACACGATAACTCCCGAATGAGTACAATTTGTTTTTGGGAAAAAAAGGATAACACAAAAGTGAGCCGTGTTAAGAGTTGGGGTTGAAGTGGTTCCAACGGGCATCGCTTGAAAGACACCCGCTGGATAGGGATGGGGTTGTGCGCGTCCGTGGGAAGGGGTTTTGATTGGCTCTGAAATGTATAGCATTCCATATCCTTTCATTCATCATCCCCCATGCAGCGATAACTTCTTGTGGGGTTGGACCCGATGCACAACTGTAAATCAACGCGCGCACACAATGGGCGCATACATTAAAGGTATGGGATAGGAGTGGAAGAGAGCGAGGCACCGAAACTATAGTCCCATTAGTTAACCACCGCTACCTCGTCTCCCTTCCACCCTCACTTACACGTATGCGCGGTGGGGCACGCACGCCTACGCTTTCTCACACTCGTGAGACACCCCACCCCACTCCTCACCAGGGTCAAATAAATTAGCTTCTTTGAACCCACTTCTGCCGCGCTGTATCGCGGTTGACAACGCAAATTTACCATCAGCAAACACGATGACAGCTTTGGAGAAGGTAGTCTCCCAACTCCTGTCTCAGTAAAATTCGTTGATCTGATGGACACAGGCAAATTCCAGCGTCAGTCCAACGCAGAGCCCATTTTGCAAATAAGTAATTGGGCGGTAGTGTGAGAGGAAGGCCATGAAGAGGATGTTACGTCCAATTGATACGTGTTGAAGTCCATCGATGTGACATTCCATGATATCCCCACATTCGATCGACTTTAAGGACTTTGCATTAATTGCCATTAACCAAGGCGTCTTTCTATCCGTTGGAGAGAAATTTGAGCCCACTTGCTAAAACAGTGTTTCATGATACGCACCTTTGTGTGCAAGTAGTATATTAACTAAGGTAGAAGTCATTGCTTTCTGTCGCAAAGGAAAAGGTTAATCTACGTTAACTACTGCTTACCACGTGCACACGTGTTATAATGTTTGAGCTTCGCGATTCAACAAGGTTGCTGATTGATCCACTTTGCAATGTTTTAAATTGAGATATCCCACCCGGGGGATAACAGCCCCACGGTGTATGCGTGTTTGCTTGTGCTTTGCTGCATCAGGACGCACACACATATATGAGAGCCCCACCGCAAACACACACCCACACGCAGACGAATAAATGCAAACTTGGGCATTTCTGGTTTTCGTAGTCAAATCCACAAAGATGGTGTAGTAGCTTAAGACCGTCTCCTTTTTCAGGCTCTTTGAAATTAAAGCACTGTACTAACCAGCTTGCATCAAGAATATGTCAGCAAAACTCCTATTTTTGTCATACCCTTGCTCTGCAGTCCGTTTTAGTGACACGCCATCGATGGAGTCTTTTTTATCCAAAAGCATTATTCGATATTGACCTTCTCAGTCGAAAGTGATATGTAAGGTACCGCGATAAAAATATTGAACGAAATATTCGACCTTACCTTGCTTGGGTTTCCCTTGGGAAACAAGTGAAATTTACAAACAAAACAGTAAGACAAAGGTTACGGTTAGAGGCGAATATAACTATCACCAAGCAGCAGTATGGTTATTGGATCAGCAGCGGGACAGCTGAACCACTGATTAAATTCATCACCCTTGAGCAATTTTCCTTTGAGTAGTGGACTGATATGCATAGTTTTGCGGTAACTTCCTTAAGGTATGCTGTGGAGGTAGCGAAAAAGAATACTGAAATCGGTGTATATTGATGAAGAGGTAAGGGTATGTATGTTTCTGCTACTTTTGTATCGGCATGGGATGCACTTGGGAAGTAGAGGGCAAGGGAAGCGGAGAGACCACAGTGAGGCGCCTATTCACGCTACTCCCTATCATCGCACCCCTCTCGAGTTTGGAAAATAAATGGCTAATGCGGTTGTGGGGCTAAGAAGAAGGGAGAGATAACAGCCTTCAGTGTATGTGTGTGTGTAAGGGGATGATATCTGAAATGCCAATAGGGCCACCCAGGTTTGGGTATCGCTTTGTGCAGGGTAGGCGAGAATACAAATGCCATGGTTGGCTTAATCGCTTGATGAGTAAGGAGACAGTTGGGAAGCCGAAGGAATGCTGCTACTGTTGCTGTTGTTGCTATTTTTGTTCCAGCAGTTTTCATGGCAGGTAGTGAGTCTTGTCGGACCAGAAATGTATCTTAGTTGGTATGAAGTGTCCTTTAAGCATATATTTTGATATTTATCGAGAAGCTTTATTTTACTTGCATGAATCTTTTTCACTGGTGCTGCATCTCTTACTGTATCTACTGTCTTTTAATCAGCATTGAACAAAGATTGGAAACTTGTCCCAAAGTCGAGGAAGTGTGACAATGGATCTCTAGGGATTTGTTTAGTATCCTCAGCATACTAGGTGGTAATTTACTAATCGGGTGAAATGGATGTGGAAACAATTTACTTCCATAAACTACGCACTTATGCAAGTGTTACGTACATATGCTTTCGTGGTTATGAACATGATGTCTGCTACTCCAAGCAGCGTGTGGCTACATTTTAACCTCACATAGGCCCAGTTACCATTTCGATGTTTATCCAATCTCACCAGCCCAGTTCCCACCTTTTGCTGAGGTGTGGTTGGTTTCCAAGTATGTTGTGTAAGCAGAGAGGAATGCTTGGAGCCTGCCGAAAGAAAACACTTTTCTGTACACCCACCCACGAATTTGAATTCAAAACTCCCAACCCCAGAAGCGATCATTCCTTTTCACAACTGTTTCAACCTGTATTGAAACATCTCTGTTAGGCGGGAGGATCGTGTCGAATGCAGTTACTTGGAATCCTTGAACAAAGTCAAAAAATCTTCAAATGAATGTAACATTAATAACCAATATTAACAGACACTGGGCACAATGTAATAACCAATCTTGCACATGGAAAAGCTTATATGAGGATAAAATCGGAATTGGAATTCCTTAATATGAGGTAGAAATCAGTCAGTACTCACCATATTACTAGACGCGGGAATGAGTTGGCTACGAAAGGCTTCACCTACTAGGAAGGGACTTTTCTTAAGCTCTACTCACTAAATGCACCACCTATTCTCAGTCGAAGCATTACGTTAATTTACATGAAAATGGCCACTATGGACGGATTTTCTGATTGCAAATATCCGACTCACCGTCTATAAATTGCTGGTGTGATTCAAGTCTCTAAGGTAATTATGCAGTTAAATTTAATTCCATTCTCGGTGTCAGTTTCACCAGCAGCCGTCCACTACAAGAAGCCAATAGCATTGTTTAAGGAAATAGCACGTTTATTTGACAGCTACATTTCATTTCTTTCGTTACAATGGGGAGACTGTAGACGACAGGTGTGACAAATCTATAGCTATGCTTGTGCGTGTATGTGAATGTCGCAGTTTTTATTAAAAATTTTAAGTAATGAACTTCACTGCCCACACAAACACCGAAACCATCGTCACTGTGTGTGTGTGAAGAGATGGTCGAGAGAAGTAAGACAATTGTATTGTATTTTTCAATGGTACGTGGAAGAGGAGAAGCAGAAGAAACAGAGTGAGGATCATCAGACCAATCGCCGCACTAGAGACCCACCCAACCCTTACTATTGGCGCCGTTGGGGCAGAGTTGATAGAGGAGAAAATAGCATCAAAAGCGCTTATTAGAGTGAAAGGTGACAAATTAAGGGAAGGAAACGGCTCTGGACCACACGCGTTAGTTGCCAGGTGGGTGGTGAGCTTGAAACACCGCGAAACTTTAATGTAGAAGATCATCGGCCGCATCATAGAGGAGAGAAAACCAACCAATACCGCTGAATTTTAAAACTACTAATGATAGAATGACACCTTTTTCTCATTATTTGACAAACATGATGTTTCAAGATTGGTAATTTCACCTGCTCATCCAAAGGTAGCACCTCAATACAGGATTTCTGCAAATACAATGCATGAAATTTCTTAGTGACACGAACATATTTGAATTTATGGTCCTTTGATGTATTATGACCCAGTTATATGCACTATTACCACAATTCTACGGATCTCCAGGTTGAAGGTGTTCAATACAGCACGATAAATACTCAATGGAGGTTTCAGGTGGAATGACCTACGTTTTTTTCTAAATAACAGAGGCCTTCGTAGAGAGTGGTAGTAGTAGGGACGGGAGGAGGCGACTATTTAACCGTGAGAATGTTTACTCGGTTGAATATCTTTTTCGTAAATATCTCGCTCCCAGCGATATCTGCCACACACACATACACGACAAAACTCGGAGCTCGACGAGTCGCGTACGTAAGCGCGTTTGTGTCAGTGCATGAATGTGAGGGCGAGAGCTGTTTACTATACCGTGGGAAGGTGTCTGGCTAACCTGCAGCACTAGAAACTGGGAACCAGTTATATTTCCGAATTTGTGCTTTTATTTTCAAAACACACGCAAAGGCTTTACAGCGTACACAGGTGCATGCACGCAAACTGCACAGCTTGAGAGCCGCACATCAATCAGATGTCTTGCCAACATCCGCGTCAGAAGAGAGTAACCACCCTTCGTACCATCTCTGTCTGAAATTTATAGTCCTTCATCGTCAAGGCAAGGTATATCCTACGATAAAAACTCTGATTCGCCCAATTGTAGTAGCTTCATCTTATAACCTAGTGGAAAAAAGTTGGAAAACGGATTTTGGCTATGAAATTAGAAAAAGCAGGTACTAAGCATAAATCACTGTGATGCGATCAATTTATGCATGATTTCCTGTGAGGAATCTGGTGCAAGCAAGTGTTTGGTTTCGCTTTTAACGAATATACCACTTTAACTTTAGGAATGGAGGTCCACTCATTCTTCCCTCGATTCCCGGCAACTTCCACAGGAGCACAAGTTTCATCGACCCTCTACACGTTACCGCCGCCGCCGCCGCCGCCACAACTCACTGCTGGCCTGCTACCGCGGATAGTCTTCCCTCAGGTGTCGTCCGCCCAGCAGTCACCGGAATCGCTAGCCAAGGCGTCTTCCACTAAGGGCAGCCCCGAGGGCCGACTACACCAAAGCGAGGAGACCCCCGTCGGCACTGCTGCTGCTGTTCCCGTCACCGCACCTCCAGGGATCGTGCACAACACCTTGCGCAAGACCAAGTCCGACATGAAGGTCATTCACCGTTACCTCGTTCAGGTGAAAAATGACACTCGCGAAATCCACGAGATTTCTCCACAGGACCTCTGTAGCTATATCCAGGTATGCTTGCTGTGCGGTGAAGCGATCTTGTTGAATTGTGGCACTGAAAGCGAATGTGTTTCTGGTTTTCTAGGACTTCATCGTCACTGCCAAGAAGAAGGACGGACACGAGTACGAACCGGAGTCCCTGAAAGCATTCGTCCATTCACTTGAGCGACATTTGAAGGTAGGTTATACGGCCCGCGTCCTTGGTTCCACTTCTCCCAATAAAGTCGGTCCCATATAAATTAAAATAGTCTCTAGACCACCTGCGTGCCGTTCTTCATTCCCTAAATTTATAGGGCGCTGAATGTTTATACCGATTCAGAGGTCCATGTTCCGTTATTAGACACGGGGTCATCTCAGTACCAATAAGTTCCTGAATTGGTATAATTTCCAGCATCAAACTTATGACCATTATTCAGGTCAGCAGAAGGGATCATAGCTCGAATGACCTCTGGATAATAACGACCACCTTAGTTAAATAAGGAGTAAATAACTTTTGTTCCTAAATTATTAAATTGTACTGTTCAGTAAAGCTTCTGCAAAAACAGATTTAACAGGTAAATTCGTCTTTAAGAGAATCGTCATCTATTAGAAACGTTATTAAATCGGTGACTTTGCAAAACAGTGACTGTCTGTCACATAACATGAAGTGAACAAAGTCCTGAATTACTTAAAACCAATCTGTGTTACGGCAAATGATGGTGCAAGTGGATGCTTAAACACAATACACACTCGGGTGACGTTCTCACGGAAATTGAAATTATTTATTGCTAATATTCGTGCAGAGCCCCAAAGAACACAAAACTTTCAACCTTTCAGTGCAATGCTTTAAAAATGCTTGCAAACCGTGAATATCTCACCTAGACAATGGGTCTTCGACAAAAATTAGTACAACCCCATTGATTCATGTTCCAATTGCGAATGTAGTACGTCATTAGCAGACGGGTACGTGGTTCAACTAGGGGGAAAACAAAAGAAAATCCGCAAAAGCTGTGGAAAACTACACCAAGAGAATGATGCGGCGAGCAGGAGATGTTTTTTGTTACCACAACACAGCAGCAACCTTGACATTTAGCGCAATGTTGATACCCACATACCTGTGGTTCTTGATACTTGTGCGCTTTTTTTCTCATGCAAAGTGCTAATGGATATTTTATGCCCCCGGTTTTCAGTATCACAACTATCCCCACTCCGTACTCAAGGATCCAGAGTTTGCCCCGGCAAGGTTGGTCCTCAGCCAGAGATTGAACGAGCTGAGAGCACTGAGTCAGGCTAATGGGAGCTCGAATGTGCATAGAAACCAAACAGACGGAGGAAAGTGCGATCCTGGTTTCAATGAATTGCATGATAGCAACAAGGTGGCCAACTTCAACTCTCTATTGCAAACTGGGCTGCTGGGTCCAGCCAACCCCCAAGTAAATTTTCTTGCCAGCAAGAAAACATTCCTTCTGTGATGAGATTGTTAATTATTAGTTTTCTTCCACTCATAGGCGCTGCTGAATAGTATTTGGTTAATCTTACGGACACAATTCAACGTGGTGGGAACTCAGAAGCATCGTACATTAACGTGGGGCCAATTCCAATGTGTTACGAATGTGAACTCCCAAGATCTCCTTCGATTTATTTCGAGGTCGGGCCCACAAGAAGTTCGATTTTGCCACGGCCACGGCGGACTGTTGGGCGTGCGAGTTTTCGATGGTCATGAAGGCAGCGGCAGCAACGGTAGTGTCAAACGCCAGATACTTCCATTCGACTGTGTCGAGATATTCAACTTCTACGCACGCCTTCGCCCTGCAGAGTGTCGAGGGCCAGAAGAACCGCTCTACCTCTGTCCTGACTCCACATGGGATCGCGGTGGACCCTGGTTTAAGCCAGCTGTTGCTGGAGCTCAGCTCCTCTCGAGGATTCCGCGTCTTCTGGGCATGAAACCGCCGCGCGACCCGCCACCTCCATCAATCTCTGAAACTTCGATCAATCCCCTCTTCCCTAACACCCACGTACCGTCTCTTTATCAACTGCGAGATAATCTTCTCGCCACAATGAATTCCTTCATCGCTGACAAAATCGGAAGAACGGAGGCCTCATCCACTAGGGAGCTGCCACCACCACCCCTACCTCCGTTTTTGAGTCCACAGAATGCACTTGCGCCTGAAAATTTGAGCGTCTTAGCAACCGGGATTGTACAATTTCCCCAGCCGTTGCTAGAGGGTGAAAAAGTTCAGGAGAGAGATCGGGGGATGAAACCAGCGCAAGGCTGGAACAGTCCCCTCGGCTCATCATTAGATGGCTCCGTCGACGACGCTTCTGCCTCCTCTCCTAAGAGTCAGCCAGCGCCGTCCGTTTTCAACAATTCCACGGCACCTCTTCCCGACTACAAGCCACCAATGACCCCTTGAATAGGAAAACCTATGTTGGCTACTCATATTTGTCCCTGCCTTCTTTATGCAGTTTCCTTGTGTGCTCCTATAACTATGCACTTGTCCATATATGCATATACTGATAAACGGAGAACCTGCTTCCAATTCAGGAGGGTTCAAATTAAATGGATATGACAATTCACCGGCTTTTAAATTTTAGATGGATCATTCTGTATTCTATGGACAACTTGAACTTGACAAATGTCTGAGAAGTGTGTGCAAGTCTTGTAAAGCGATCTGGTTTTTTTGAAGATAATTTAGTATCCGAGGTAGTTAGGCGCACCAACCGAATCTGGCCTAACGGAAGACCCTCCCGCCGGCATACCATTAACGGCTTTCAAAGAATCATCTGCGTAGAACAAAACCTGATGGAAGAACACATTCTCCGACATCTTCAACTTTTAACAACCTGAGTCTTCTGTGCTGAACAAGCGACGTGGTTAATAAGACGCGATTTTAAGGGACCAAGCCACACAGAGACTAATCTCAATGGATCGGGCATGCTGGGTCTCGGACCCGAACGATCACCACCCCTTTTTGGCTGAGTGCTGATAAATTTTTTGAGAGGAAGGTATTTCGCACAATTTATTTGTGTGATTAATAGCTTAAAACGAAGTAAGCAATTTTCGCATATGGGGTAGTAAGAATTTAAAACCAAAATATGACGTATCCGAATCAACCATGAAAATGAATTTTGTGCCCGGATAGAGCGATCCCTTACATACCCATTTGAATAGTAATTAACAAAGGCAAAGTAACCCATACATCGTGTCCGCTACAAATGCTACTAAATTATCAAAAGTAGTCAAGTTCCTCTGGGACGTAGACAAAGCCAGGTATTCGGAGGCAAGTAGGAAGGGCGTTGATCTCCAGATTCGTAGGGAACGTGCCAGCCCTCCGTCATGCTCCCCTGTATAATGGTATCGCACAAGACAGGACCCTAATTAAGCAAAAAAGATCGAAATTAAGCCACACGTTTCCAAAAAATTCCCCAATAAAAGGAAACAACAATTACGCTGGTAAGATTTTTCGCCTTACATACATGCAGAGCGTTTTCGACGCAAAGAATTTACCAATACTGCATTGCGAAGGAAAAGAAAATATACTGATGGATCAAAACGATAGGTTGGACCAAGACCCTATATGAATTATGTAATAAAGCAGTCAGAAACTAATTCATAACGCTCATGACTAATTTTCACCTCGATTTTGTGTGACATAAAATACCCATTAGGTTAAGGAAAACACAAAAAAACATCTACAATACCCTTGGTTGGCAAAATCGGGTTCTTCTGCACGAAAGGTGGATAAAGGCCCAAGGAATACAAACGTATGGTTAAACGAAAATAAATAAATGAAACAATCGAAAATATAGAACAAAACGAATGACAGAAAACCAAGCATTCTACGTGGGGAAAAATAGGAAGGTCACTTCATCGTGAAGGTCTACACCCAAAATCATCCCCTATGTGGCAATTCCAGCATTAGTCGCTGATATATACATACATATAGCAAACGCAACGACGACCAACAACAGCAGATAATGGGTATGCCATGGGATTGGATATATGAAAAAAGATGGAGAGTGATATAAATAAAAGCGACTCACGAGGAAGGTGAGGGGATGCGCGGAACGTAGAGAGATTTGACGAGCGGCCTGCCAACGCGCCAGCAAAGGACTAGCATCGGGACCTAGAGTGAAGCGGTGCTGGCGAAACTCGTCGTTAGAGAAGAGGTAGCAATTGGGACCTGACCAAAGAGCCAGGTATATCATAAAGGCATCGTCATTGCTCCTGTGCAACAAAGTTGAAAAGTGGTGGTTAAAGAGTCATGCCTGTGTTCATGTATTTTTGGAAAACTGATGAAACCTTACTTGTGGTCAGTCAAGAATGCTTGAACTTTGACCCCAGTTTGATTCCCTAGGGCCTTTACAGTACCCCAAAAGTATTTTTTTTTTACGATACTGCGCTCTTTCCCAACCAAACAGATGCGATTAAAGTGATAGACTCGATGAAGTGAGGAAATAAGCTAGAGAACCGATACAACAAGGTGCAGTTTAGCTTACGTCTGAGAGCAAGTTAGTCTGCTCCTCCACCGACAGTGTCGATAACTTTCTATTCGAAACGGTATGCAAGTAATTAGGCAAGTCGACAACACAATCAAAAGGGCAACTGGTTATTTTTAAGAATGCATGAAACGAATCCAGCTCATTCGGAGTAGTTGTGAGAAGTAATTCATCCGAATTTCTCCCCTAAATGAAACATCGATTGAGATAATTAAGAGAAAAATACCTGAAGAACATAGTCATAAAAGCGTTCAGCCAACTGAGAGCAGGTAACAGTATCGAAATGGACTTTTTTAAGGTGCTTCAAGCAAGAATTGCACAAAATTCTGTGAAGTATAAGTAAAACTGTCAACGTACCCCGATAAAGTTACTCCCATCGTCCCACGCCATCCATATCTAGAGCATATTTCAAGAAAATATTTCACTACTGTTCAAACCAATCCTTTATGAGAACTGCCGTGGAATTCGGTATAACGCATTGACAAGTATTGACAGCTTCGAGCAGAGAGATCATTTTCTGCTTTCCTTCATCACCCTGCAATCGCTTTAAAAAGGCCAGGTAGAAATCATGGGTTGGCCTCAGTCCCATAGGCTGCAATTCGTAAATAAAAGATAGAGCCTCATCCAAAGGACCGAAGGTTGCCGCTGCCGACAAAAAATGGGTGAAACTCCCAACTGGAGCTTTTCTTTCAAAGCTCATATACAGGAACTTTTTTGCTTCTTTGTAGAAGGGAGTGAGACAGAGTGCAGCGGACATATCAGCAGCATAAGCAGCGGTATCAGTTGGAGATAACCGGGACCTTATCAACACATACAAGGACTCGAATTCTTGAAAGCGCTTCTGCGAAGCAAGGGCTTTAAGGACAGTTATCAATGTAGCAGTTGAGTGACAATCTGATCGTCCCAATACGAAAAGTATGATCGAATCCACGACTTTGTCTTTACCATAAGCCAAAGATGTTGAAATAAACTTAGACCAGAAATTCATCTTGAAGCGAAGGTCGGTAGATGAGTTTTCAAGGATTTCATACATAGCTTGAAGACTAGAAAACTCTAAAAATGAGTTATCTAGGCTTTTGAAATATGCATCAATATTTTGGGATGATGACATCGCATCAACAGCGCTAAAGTGAGCGCAGCGAAAACAAATGTCGTTGGGAATCCTATAAACATAACACAGTTTCGTAAGGCCCCGAAAGAACCTCGAGACACCGGCCATGACGAGGGCGGTGACGCGCAATCACTCAAGTGAGCGCGGTAAGGGTGCCTTAAGGTCATTCGAGTTTTTCAAAGCAACTACAACAATATAAATATGTTATATTTAAGTACCACTTTGGAACAAATTTTCTTGCTGGACAAGGGGGTTGGGCTTTAATGCGATTTTTAATGCATTAACTTCTTTTCCTGAATTAACTCGAAAGTCGACAACCAATCAGGGTTGGGAGCTGTCTGGCACGTATCTGGTATTGATGGCTTTCATAGGAAATGATGATTATGATAAGTAAATGCATTGCTAAAGTGTAATGATGTCCGTTTCAGAATTCTAGCGAACGCAAGGAAATGCATCGGTACAGCTAGGAGATTGGGTGAACATTACGGTAGTAAGTAGGAATCATCTCAACACCTACGTATTTTGAAAGAATTGTCGAAGGAGCATGGTGATTTCAGGAAGGTGGTGTGTAACAGTGGATTATCGACATTGATCGATTTCACTGAGGTGGAAGAAAAGGAGTATGGGTGTGTCAAGTATATGGTTTGTTCTCATATTTGCCCGAGCAATCATTAGGAAGTATTGGATAAAACGTTTCTGTCGGAGCCTTTGACTGCGTAAGTTTCGCATTTCTTCTAGCATCGCATATCTTTATTTGCTTGCTCATTTCAGTGCAGCTAGATGGTTGCAAAAGAAATAAGTTTCATCAGTATTTTTGGTGGCACATTTGTGTTTGCATCAGTTTGTCCAGACAGTAATGTGAAACACATTGAGGCAGTCCACAAATTCTTGGATTTGGGGCATCTCCATTTTGGCCTCGCATTGAGGTTCACTGAACGACGCAACTAAATCTTTTGTTCAACCTTTCTTTTCGTCTCGTATCCTCTCCTGCGGAGCTGTATTATCATATTTTCATGTTTCGAATAAGTCGATTAACTTCGATTCACCCATTTTACTTTCTGGCACTCCATGCCTGTTTGTAGCCTCCTGTTTTGGCCTCTCGGCTCTCGGATTTGGTATATGACACTTTTATCTTTCATTAAGGACTTCAGAAATACTCCTTCACTATTACTCTGTTTCCTTGCATCATTTTTTTCTGAATTTAGAATGGCTGAAGGTGGTAGATGCAGTAATTCCGATAACAAGGTTGTCGAAGCTCTTGTAAAGCACATTGAGTCTGATACGTCTCGTGCGAAAATCGGTGCTGTTATTTGTCTTAACGAAGCCATTTGCGTATGTTCATGTTTGGTTTTGCCTGCATTAGCTTCTTTTGCAATGATGCAGCACGATTAGTAAATCAATATTTGCTTATAATACTATTGCTACATGCAAGTTATCTGTAACATTTATGGTATGTTTCGTAGGCCCATTTGTGTGCAAGTAGCCACGCCGTCTTTTCTGGCGCTAGAAACTTTTCAGAGGAAGTTAAAAACATTGAAGAAGATGTAGGAACACCTTTCGACTTGGCGTTGTGGAAAACAGATACGCTTATCAGTGAAATCAATGGACTGGATTTTGATTTTTAGTTATAACTGTTAGTAATGTTGGTTCTCTTCCTGGTCTCTGTGATGTTATTTTACTATTTTGTGGTCAGACTGATTTTTACTTGAAATGGCTTGTTTTTATTGCTGCTCCCATAATTATTCTTTCCCTTTATTGCTTCCATCACTTCTGGGATCTAATCTTCTTGTGAGATTGAGGCGCTCTGAAGATCTCATCCACCACTTTTGGTCTCGTAATTGCAATTTTTGTTCATTTCCAAGTTTGCGGTTGTTAATAGCATACTTGACTTCGATTGTTTTAGAGTAATTGGTTTTGCTACGGGCAACTTTTGACCTGAAGCCTGGTTATCAATGGCCTGGGATTATTCCCATGGCCCATTGACTTGCCAACAGTCTTGAATGCACTCAATGAGAAAGAATCAACAAAACAACCCCTAGGAGTTAAGGAGGCGTATTTGCGTTCATGTAAACCTTGATTCTGAAATCTGACATAGGGCTGTTGTTGCTCAACTGCACTGCATTTGAGACGTCGTTGAACAAATCTGTCCTTATCGATTTACAGGGAATCTGCTCGAGCTCCTTTTATCTTTCGAGCTTCTCAGGTTTGTCGCCGCAGAGGAGGTCGGTTAGTATTTTCGGGCGAGTTTATGGAGATAAAGATTGATTCCGACAAGATTACAAAAATGATGAATAAAATGTAGCAATGAGAATGTGAGCTGGCAAATATGGTTCGCAGGAATGTGAATGTACAAGAGTGCCACTGGCTCAAAGGGCTTCTCCATTTGCCCTTGTATTCTGGAGCTTCAAATCAAGCTTTGTGTTTGGTTGTTTATTTTGAGGTCAGTTACAAGGACACGTTTTATTTGTGAAGTTACCATAGTGGAACAGGGCGTGTACCGAATTGGAGTTATGGGGCCTTTTGTATATGCGATGTGCAAGAATCTGTTTGAAAGTAAGGGCGGATTTTGGAATCACCCTTCTGTTATTTAGCTAAGGATCAATCGGATTGATTAAAATTGGGATATCTTCCCATTGAAAGCCGCCTTATAGTTTTAGCACAAAATGGTTTGTGTGCAATGATCACTTGCGAGGACTTGTTTTTCTACATTTGAATAATAAGTTAAGGTTGATGGACCAATGGTCGATTTGATGTCGTTAGTGCGATTATACTCGTAAAATGGGAAGTCTGGTGCCTACATGTTCCATATACTCTGTGGTTGCTGTAATTAAGCATTTTCCTTCTGTGCATAATTCAAAACACAAATTAAATTGCCTAGGAATGCCTTCCAGTGTTTTTAAAATAGACATAGGTAATCATTAAAGTAATAAATGTTTGCCAATAAGCAACGGGAATTATGTGACGGGCTTGCTCAAGGTGAGGGTTTTGCCATACCGAGTTCGCGTTTAGCCTGTGACCATGCAACCGAAACATTTTGTGCCGACGAACCTCTACGTTAATTGGTGTTACATTAGTCGGGAGTCCCACCCTGGAGACCATTGCCCTCTAGCCTTAGCACACGTTAGAGTGGCCGTGATTTCGCCCAGAGGACGCTAATAAGAGGCACTGACTGGAATCATTTAACCGTAGGAAATTCCTAGAGCGTAGCCTGGAAACGGGCCAAAAATATGTTGAGTCTAATGCTGACTGCTTCCAACTTAACTGCTAAAGTGTAATTTGCTACACCCAAGAGTGTTGGTAAAATCAATTGGTTTTCTGAAAATCCTCTAAGACTACTCCGAAGGACCTGTTCAAATCCTGAGATGCCCCTACGTTTATCAGCTCAAATTGCGATGCAAAACAGAAAAATGAACATTGTGTTTAACTGGTTGGGAATGGAATATGCAGGGTCAATTTTGCACTAATCTTAAAGTGGTGGTCTAGTCTGCACGCATTCTAGATGAATAATCGGCTATGCTTTTAAGGCGGAGAGTTCACAATGTCAGAGCTTGGTGTATTGGTTGGCAAAGGTCGTAGTCAGATCCGATTTCCCGAAAGGACAAAGTGCATCTTGTTAGCAGAATAATCTCCTAGGAAAACTGAAATTGCTCACGTTCGTATGATAGGCTTCCGGGACGTGAATACGCAAATGAAGGATATCCGACGTTTAAAACTTTGATTTTAGATTTGACTCTTCTTCCAGATACTTTTTCTTCGGGCTAGCTCTGTTTTCTCGAATCATCGTCAAATTAAGGGAAAACAATAAGAAACATTCCCAAGCACTTTAGATAATCGTGGTTCAGTTGGAAAAAAAACAACCGTTTGTTTATTTTCACTTTGATCGTCTACGAAAAAGTCTAAGATGATAGTCGGTGAAGTTACAAAAAATTGTTAGGACTGAGAAGTAAGGAGTCTTGGAATATTATACCGCTGCAGCTCTCTACACCAGCCATTAAAATATTAGGGTATGTCTGCTTTAAAACTTTATTTATGCATCACCTCAGGATAGTTGCCTTTCTGCATAGCATGGCGTAGCCTTTGAAGTGAGTAAGGGCGGGAACTGATAAACAGGGATGCATTTGGTATCCAGCTCATCCCAGGCGCTCCACTACTGACGACCCTATTTGAAATGCAGGCGGCCGATTGTTTTGAAAGAAGTTGGAGTCTGGTTTGTAAGAAACAATATCTTGCTGTGACTCAGAAGGACTGCAGATCGATCCATCCACTTGCACCATAATGGACTTCGGCATGGTATTCACGATTCGTTTCATGACTGCGTGCTAAACTAGTCTTTTGTATGAACTCCGCGGAAAAGTACACCGGAAATGAAGCCTAAGATCACATGCCAGTTGGTTATAAGAAGCGAGGAAACATAAGTACCTCGCAAAAGCCAACTATCGTCATGTCCTTCAAAACATCAGTGGTGGTTATTGAGATATTTCTTCCTAACATCGATAAAATGGAGCACACAAGACATACCCAGCCTGTTGGAAGCATGTGAGATATGAATGAATAACTTATCCGATGGAATTTGAAGACCTGTCTCTTAGACGTCACATCGCATGGCGAATGGGATTCAACGAGATTAAACGGGAGAATGGATGAGTTCCTGATAATAATGGAGCAATCTTAAGCAAGGGTGGATTTCATATTGAAAAGCGCACTCCAAATGGCATCAAACTAGAAACGTTAAGAAATGCCCTCAAATTAAGCATGCTGCCTTGTTCTATGCTTCCTTACTATACGGAGGATCTATCAAGATGGGTTTGAACGAATCTGTTGTGAAACTACTATTGATGAATCGAGCCAGTGGCACACACTCGTTTTGGAAATCGCTATGAATCCATGTGTGTGTAGTGATTTCGAACTAATTCTTCCATTGACAATAGAAAGAATGCCTACTAAAGATTTTGGCTTATCAATCCGCAACTTAAGTTCCTTTTTTAAGGTGTTATCACGCTAATTCTGAGTTAACAAAACTTACGTAACTTTTAAGTGGAGATTTTATGTAACCCTGTTGTGCTGCGGCGTGACCGTTCGCCCGTCAAACCACATACCGACTAAGAGGATGACTGAGTGATGTATTTAGGGTTCGGGCCTGTATGATTTGCAGTTGCAGGCCCCCTATTTATAACCCTTTTAGGGAAGCTGTCAGATGATCTCAAATTCACCATGACGATCTACATCACTACGTTGCCTTTCTTGTAGCAAGCCCTGTCAAGGCTTTTTTCTCAGTGTAACGTTGCTCCACTTCGTCCGTGTAAAGCACTTTTTGTTTCCATTCCTCTTTCGATGCATTCGTAACTCGGATACCACGTTCTACAAGTGAGTACTGCACAGAGGATTTACCTATCGACTGTTGATGAATAACTCAACACCTAGAAAGCGGTGCCACCGAGAATTTCCATGAAGTAGAGCGAGCACACAATCTCTTTTCTTGAAAAGTACAAATATGCTCGAAAGTCTGTGAATTGGGTCGGGCCAGTAACCTATGTACCTGGGGCATCTCTTGAAATGCACCAGAAGAGTGTTTAGCTTCCTTAACATTGAGTACCAGGAGTTTTGCGGAGAGGTGGTCCTCACATGAGACCAAGCAATCGAATTCTCCGGTCAATATACTTTTCTGATTTTTCAAGTACCTCGTCTTTAGCAGAATTCGTACTTTAAAATATTGAGTTTTCTTTGCCCATATTATAAATGTTTTATTACATATGCTCTATCGTTATTTTAGCCGTGGCTAGTTTCGTATTTTCGCATCGGAGAATTCATCCGATGAAGGTGTAAAGTCAGCGCAATCAGTTCATCAAGTTATAGCGGATTAGTCGCCCAATAATGGGAAACACGCGGATGTAATGCAGCCTACTTTGAAAAAAGTAATGCTATTGTAACGATTTAGGGCACTTTTTAAATGGTGTGTGTGGTGGCAATTAATGAAGATGTGAACTTTAAAGCCTCTTCCTTTCTGCCGAGTCCAGTGGACTTAATTAAATTTTCTTCACAAATAATAAGTCACAATATCTTGTACCACTTGTTCACTCTCGCCACGATAAACAGACTATAATCTCCCGGAGGCTACCGAGTAGGTGCACTAATTAACTGCACAAAAGTTAGTTGACTTTAACCCACTGCAATTTGTCAATGAAGGTAATGTTAGTGCCCACCAGCAGAACAGTCGGCGTTCAAATAAGGGAAACTTCGATAATCACTCGGGGCTTTGTACCAGTCTCTACAGCTGCAAGGGTTAGAGGTCCAAGCGGGCTGCCTGTTAGCTGCAATTACCAAATTGACGACAAGCTTTCCTTATAGAATCGGAAGAGATCTTACTTCATTTGCATAAATTGATATTGCTAGTACCTTAATGCACAAAGGATTAGCAGACAAGGGGAAGTTCATGCTATCATCTCCTTACCACCTGAGGCAATGCCTTCGGATGTAGAACCGCGCCGTACTTTCTACTATTTTGCGTTCTCTTTGGCTTGAGAAGTCAAATGACTAAGTGTTGCGCTTACTTTCAGGACTCAAATTATTCCCACAATGCACTTTATTTAGGAAGACAATTTTTGTCATAGAAGCGGGCTCTCGGTGCTTCTTTTTCTTCAAGGAAGTGGACTTAGGCAACAGGAAGTAAAACGAAGCGCTATAAGCTCAAGGCAATACTCAATCAACGCCTTCGGTATCAGTAACAGTTCTTTGGTAAACCATTCTGCAGTTGTTGCGCTGATAGAATTTATCCATCGGGGAAAGTACACATTAGCTTTCCTTACCGGATAGAACTAGCGAGCCATTTTGCTGAAGTTGGGCAACGATGTCGATGTGATTAAACACACCCACCATGACTCTATAAGTTCCAAAGGCTAGAACAAACGAGGCCTGCCTACCTAAACATAAAAGAATGCTGTTGAATAGCACATCAAGTACCTGGAGCTATACAGTTGTAGCACACGGTAAGAAATAACGTACAGTTCAATCATCCAACTGATTGGTTTGTCACTGGTGCGACATTTTGCGAACAAATTAGTGACGGTCGACTTATAAAAACAACCCCAAGGTCAACAATGTCATTTAAGTGCGTTGAAAACAAAAACCGGAAACGGAGCTTACAATGGCCCATTCTAGCCATAAGTGCAGTTTATTTCCATTGTTACCCTCTGGCCACTTGACATACAAATGGACACTCACTGTGCCCCATCGAAAGAGAAAAAGCCTATAAATGAGGCTGCCGAATGACCGGCTAACGAGCAGAGCAATGAAGCCGATTTCCTTTCCCCCTCTTACAACAGGCCTTGCATCACAACTTAACCAGCGTATTTCATGTTGAATATAACCGATGCTACCATGCCACCCGTGCCGGCTTACTATCAGCTAACTCAAGAGTAAAGGAAATGAAATAATCCCCAGCAGTACAACAACCTCTGGCAAAAGCTCAGGAAGTGCGCTAGTATCTTACTCATTGGTTTTCAGACTTAAAGCCATTAAAGATGGCAGTTCTGATGGTGCTTTGCGCCTACTATCTCTGATGTCAGCTAGGGCAACTGCACGCATGAGCCGAACAGTTGCACATACATGAGATAACGCAGCAAGACTAGAGACATCGCTGTTCATAAAGGAGAAAGTGTAAGACCCGGTAACTGAAATGCTGAATAGTACCCTCCGGCAAAACCAACACAGACAAGGTCAGTTGACACTCTGTCCATAGGATCGTAACGCACGGAGCAAAATTAGGTCAAAATTCCAAGGTAACTCCCATCATCAAGTGGCGCGCTAAATGCTCGTATAAACCATTCAAAACAATTCAGCACGCCCATTTTAATCTTGGTCTCTGTATAAAAGCGTGGGACAGAATAAATCAGGTCTAAGATATCACTTTGATAAAGCTTAAAATAGTCAAACACGAAAAACTGCCCACTTACCTCATTGAATCAGGTAAGAAAGTGCAGAAATGAGGAAAAAAATGGCGTTTATATGGCTAAGAGGAGCACAAGCGAAGTGCTTAGTTGATTATATTAATACGTGTACAGTCGTAGATAATTAAATACATCTGACACAGTGATACAAAAAATGGAAAGAACGACGTGAGGTTAGATTACACAGTAACGAACACAAGAGTATATGTACCATTGAAAACATGAGATATTAGGTAGCCATAGGTAGTGAGCATGCTTTGGACATCATATGAAAACAAGCAGGGGCCAAGAAAACTTTGTAATGTAGGCATTTCAATGAGCCGTTGGGTGAAGAGAACCAAATAAGATGACAAGGAAAAAAACCTCACCCACTATTCCAGTGGGACGTGACCGAGGGGTGAGAGTTTTCCCCGCTTCCTCAAGAGGATAAACATTCTGAAATTGAGATATGCAAGAAATAAATAAGCTATGCTGAACATTTTTAAACTTATGCCAATTTTCATCCTAACCATCAGGCCGAAAAAAAAACACCACCGATCAAGCCATAGTGGCAAATAATAGCATAAATAATCTTGACAAGATAAAAATCCTCATCGCTAATTACAAAAGTAAGATTGAATTTCAGCAGCCGTATTTTGAATATGAAAAAAGAAGAGTTAAAATTCTAGACAATATTGTACCTGCCATAAGTCAAGACTTCATTATAATAAAAACCAGTGGTATGCCTCCAGAGAATGGCATTGCACCATTTATGGGAGTACTGCATTTGATATTCATTTTGCAGCCAGCTTGCGGGGCCATGAAAAAGATAATTGCCTGAACTTTTCATGAAACAATAAGAGCAGAAAATGAGCACTTGGCCTTACTATTTGTAAACAACCATACCTCCTTCGGTTTCAATTGAAAAAATACTTCGACACATTACAGTAAAAACTCGAGTCGTGTGCACAAACGTGCAACTGGCGCATGCGCATAGGCGTAATAATGAAGTTTGAAATTAAGCTTTGCAATTACAACAAATCACTAGTATGAATATTTTCATAAAATCTCCACCCAAGCGGTTCGTAAGCATGACGCAAGCATAAAAGTAGATTTCGAAGATGAAAAATGTATAATGAAAGAATTTACAGGTTATAAGGCATTCATGAGCCTCAATACTTTGATTTTTGCTCTTTGTTGGCAATAATTAGCAAATACCCAGCCAACGGGAGAAATAGCCCGTCAAAAAGTTAAGCATAGACACCTTTTTTTAATAATTCCACATATGACAGCAGATATACGGAAGATTAAGTGGGATATAAGATCACCAACCATGAAAACCGACCGCTGGCAGCTGCATATTTCACTTTACTAAGTGAATTCGCATAGTATGTAGATGGTGGACAACCAAGTCAGCCTGTGCATGCAACAAATGTATGCGCTCTCAAGGATGCTGACTGAGGGTCTGGGTAATCGCATAGGCACGTGATGATAAACATGCAGATGCAAATGACAAGATGGATCGCACATTGTTAGTGCTGTGTTTATCGTGTAACAAAGCGCGGCCACAAATGGGCCCCAAACTAAGCATTTTTCATATGAAAGCGGCATGTTCGCATAGTTTTTTGAAAAGCGAAACAAATGGGCACATACGCGGCTGCACCTAGCAGAAAAGAGGCGAAATGACGGAAGAGTGAAGGCAAATTATGCAAAAGCCAACCGACGAAACGCCATTGAAAGAATGAGGAATGACGTAGCCGCCAAGAACGAAGGCTGGATTCCTGTAAGAACTCCAGTTTGCCCATACAGGACCCGTCCAGCGAATTTGGCGGTGTCAGATCGGTTGAACACGGGTCCGAGGAGTTGGGACCAGTCGAGAGCAACAATGAACACGGCCTGCACAGCATTGTAAATAACCTGATGTAATGTATTGATAAAAGTATCAAGGGCAAAAACCGCTACTGCAATACCCTTTGCAGAGCCGTTGTTCCTAGTCGGTTTTTCGACTTCAGTGTAAACATTCAAAGGAATCAGCCAACACCCTCTTTAACTTATTGCTTATCTGTGCAAAAACAGCAAAAATTGGCAGTAGACAAAGATTTATAGTTGATGTGGGCGGTGGATACCAAACACCGGGGGAATTTTAACAATGTTTTGATCCCTTGTGATTACTTTAAGCCTCATGAAACTGTAACAAGAACAGCTAATTACATCTTTAAACAAGATAAGACAAAGATCATGTAGGGAATCACAGGTAGATAGTGGCTTAAATCAAATAATCCTGCAAATTAATCAACAATTAAACGTCCAAATATATTTACCCACGAACAAGCAAAATATTGACCACATCAAAGCGAAACTCCGGTAAAGACTCCATCTTTATGCGTTGTGAATACTGGACGATGTAACAGACAAGTGGAAATGAGCAGCTGGGACTAAACATACCCGGACACATTCGGGCGACTGGGCCATTCACCGAATTGACCTGCGCATAATTCTGGAGCAAAGTCCATGTTCTTTTGGATTTCAAAGGAGGTAGCCCCAAAAGCTGTGTTTAAAGGAGTAATCGAGGTCTTGATGTGATCTTCGAGAGCAGAGCAGAGCATAGAAAGGTCGGTGGAGTGCATAACAACACCAGCATACCGACTGTGTGGAGAGTTCCGTCCGGTATTCAATGCGTGGGAAGACAGCTCAACCCATTCTGCACTATCATCTGGGTATTGAAACACGGGTTAAAAATGCAGTAAAGCAGTGGATACGATCAGGCGTTGTAGTATGAAAAACTATATTAAGAGGGATTCCACAAAAATACAGTCGTTCATAATATCTTGCGACAAACTGCAAAATAACTAAGTATAGAATCATGTTAATCAAGGTAAGATTGCAGAACACAATAAAAAAACTCCCAAACGTTGCAGGAAACCTGCAACCTTGATAATATGCAACGAAAAAAGGTGATAACCCATGCACCCACCTAGAAGATCGCCGGACTTGGACATGATAGAAGTTGCCTTCGAAGAGGTTAGCAATCAGCTGACATCTTCTAGCAAGCACATTAATTCATCTAAACAAACCAAAAAACAATGCACTTTTGTTAATTACCTACTGAAAATGTAAGGTTTGAAGCATTTATCACACACTTTGAGCCAACACAAGACGGGCTTTGAACATAACAATTATACTCGTGGCTGAAATCCACTTGATTATAGGATGATTTATGACGAAACCCCTTATAGCTGCCTTAAACGTATTGAAAAGTATGAATATAAACAAGACTAATGTCACTCTGTCAAAGATTAGAATTTAAAACACTTGGACATTACCACATTTTGTAGACAGTTAGCCTGGTGTGCGATTGGAGTGACAGTACAATTTATTCGAGCTAAGCAAACACTACTGTAATAAGCTAATTCTTTATGTAACTCCTCCGTTTGCCCAAATGCTAATTTTTGTCACCAATTTAGTATCTTCGCCGGGCGGACTGTTCTTTGGGCCATCCCAGAAGCCCCAAGGCTCACTGTAAGTTGAATATCTATGTAATACGATGCTGGTTTATCCCCTGGTATTGGTGGGGAGCCACTTTTGTACTTTGAATTAGCCTTCTTGTACCTCGCTGGGTAAACTGACCTTCAGGTTATGCCAATAGCCCAAACACCTTCTCTGTGCTGAATGTATATTCTGCCCAAGTATTGTGTCTTCTTTCGTCCTCAGGGAAGTCTCGGGAGGCTAAGTCTACATTCTATTTTAGTATTCCGTCCTCATGCATCTTCAGCAAAGTCTCTCGGCACTACATCGGTGGTAGCGGAATGCAATTATGATCAAAGAGGCTGGGTGATAAAATTTAGCTGTTCGAAAGAAGTGCAAGTGCTGTGGATAGAAAAAATTGGTGACGGCCCGTGACAGAAGGTCTGAAAATGATGTTAGCCTTTGGAAACTATCTCAGCTGCACATTTAGCAGAAGAAGTACTAACAATGGAGCTACCTGTGAAAGTTTCGTTGCGCAGCCGCTTACCGTATCTGCATAATGATATCAAATACGTAAAAATACGGTACCTCCTCCACTTCTTGAGTGGTTGGATAACACCCTGATTAATGAGGCTGGGCGGCAATTAGGTGATAATGACATGGTAAAGATGTTTGAAAGAAGCTCCGTCCCTATTCAGTCATGTCTAATTCCGGTCTTTGTTACGTGACTGTTGCCCGGCCAACATTTCAACGACTAGCTATAAGCAGGGGTGATGAGCAGCGCCTTTCGCTTTCCTTGCATTCACTTTCCGAAGCGGGATAAAACTTTAGATCCGGTAGAATTGTTAAGAGGGATTAAGAACTTTGAAGTCAGGCTTCTTCTTAATTGTGTGATAATTTGAAGACTGGCACGTTTAGCTCGCTAGTGTTTCCTTACACTACTGATTACTCCGTGATGGCTTAAACTGGAGGGTAACAAAAGGGAGTGCAGAGGTTGATGTTCAAAAGAGGAGATTGTCTGTGCAGCACCATGTTTGTCGAATTCTCGGTTTTGGTGAAGGGGCCATTTTGACCCCTCACCATAGTTTGCACCATGCTAGTAGCTCCAAGCCTCACTGTGTCATACGTATGTGATTTTGGCCTGAGTATTACGACGTCGGCTTCAGTAAAGTTTCAGGATGTTGCAATATAAAGAATCAAAACATGCAGTTTAACTCAGTTTTCCCATATTTTATCAACATTAGTGCAAACAAGTCTGCATGAAGTAAGAGTACAGCATTTGATGGATTAAGCTTAAATTCGTGAGTACAACTTAAGAAAAATGGTTTCTTATACATAATTCAATTGCATGTTGGTATTTATTGGATCCTCTGAAAAACACACATAGTTGTACCAGTTGCTCTAAAATTCTTTTTATTTCTCAGGCGCCCCTGATATTAATTTAATTCCATGGACTTAGAAGCTTATTGGCGAAATGGATTAAGCAACGCTATCTACCATAAATACGTAGTTTTATTGATAGATATTGATGATGCTCCAGCCCATAGTCGTTTTACCAAACCTTGAGCTCGGCTTGACGGTAATGCTTTCTGCTGTCGATAATGCTGGATTTATGTACTCTGTCCCATCATTGAAGAAGTAAAATAACGCCGATTTAGCATATTTCTAGCGAGACACAACTAGCCAAAACCATCGCTACTTTAAACTATCTGGAGAGATGTGTCAAGAATGGTGATTGGAAAAATGCGAGGTAAATGCTTCGTTCGTCTATCACCTTGTAGAGAACTTATGGAAGTCATAAATAGGGTGGGAAAATTATTGTTAAAATACTCTTTTGAAGAAACTGCTATCCACAACACCGTATTGAGGTTTATGAAATTAATAAGAGAGGAATCGTTGAGGTATACCATTGTCGTGTGATGAGCTATTTCAGACTCCTTCCTAGCGGCAAAGTGGAGAGTGAGGGGCTGCAATCCGTAATCAAGCACTTTTATCTTTTTAAATATTGAAGACCTTGGTTTCCAGCACAAGCTCGAACGACTGGTCCCTAGTGGGGAGAGAGGAGCTTTGCAAACAGTTACTGACTGCGTCCATCGATTTAAAGACCGACATCAAAGGACACCTAGGCTACATATCTAGCTCATCTCTGAATTTTATCCATTCTGACGAACTAATTTTGACAGTTGGTTATTCGAAATCAGTATTCAACTTCTTGAAGGTAATTCCTGTTCCCACTTGACACCCGGTTTGAGTATGCTGCCAACAAGAAACGACAGTTTCGCGTCATAGTGTGTGAAGCGTTCCCTAATACTGAAGGTCACAAGATGGCAGAGACCCTGGCGATGGAAGAGATATCTGTTGTTCTCGTCCCGGACAGCCATGCGTTTGGCTTGATGGCTCGTGTTAATAAGGTAGTGCAAAACCACTAAGTAGTCAACTTTGGGTAGTTTAATGCCTCAACTCATGATTGAATGCTCCTGAATGATTTAGGTTATCTTGAGCTGCGATACCGTCTACCCAGATGGCTCATTGAAGGCGCAGACCGGGACTTACGCGGTGATGCTAGCAGCGAAACATTTCTCAATACCGGTAAACTAGAGTCAATGGAAACTGAGCTCAACCGAGTAATCGCTAACCGCTCATCCTCGTGGCGGGCCCTTTGTAGACCTACGTGTGCCTTCCTTCGTACAAGATCTCTCCGGTCAACTTTAAATTGTTACCAAACTGCTCCAATACCTTGAACAGTCATGCTCAGTGCGCGCCTGAATCGATGACTGATTTTCTCGAAACGGCGGACCTCTCGGTGAACTCATTGGATGCGCCCTCGCGATTGCTGCCCGCATCGGAGTGCCTCGCCGGTAGCGGGCCATCGCCGTTGGTTTGGCTACCGAACTGGGACTACATACCGCCTGGCCTCACCAGCCTCTTCCTCACCACGGAAGGAGGACAGGCGCCGTCTTACCTCTACGCCATGGTTCGTGAACTATTCAACTCCGATGACGTCAACCAATCCCTGAAATGGGTAGAAACGTGAGGCACCCCCCCCCCCTCTCGTGCATAAGTCACGAAACTCGCTTGGTGTCAACTTGCATTACAATTAGTCGCATCAGTTATCGGCTTCTTAAAATGGAGTAAAACTTGTACGTTTATATGGACCACATTGATGGCCTCACTCTCCAGAGTGAGGCTTTGGATTTTCGCCGTTCAGCGCTTCATAATACAGATGCAAACGGTACTTGTATGAAAAAAAAGCAATCAAGATGTAGGGCCGGATGGTTGTATTAACACAAAAATGCAAGGGCACACGGGGATTTGCCACTGTCCAACACGTGCCACAATCTTAGGACGGTGTCTAAAAGGAAATGAACCCATTTACTAACAAGTCTAGAATTCACCTAAGACAGAGAAAAGGAAATCAAACGTGCATTATTTATTTACAGAGATCTTGACACACTTGGTACAAAAAAAATGCACTTTCGGGTACATGGGCCGTACAGTGAGCAGTTATAGTACACGTGCAAAAACAGTAACGTGTATACAACACCGTTATTACATGATTGTCAAAAAGGTATACAAATGAGACTTGAAAGACTTCGGAATGGAAAAGGTTTCACAAACAGGCAAGGAGACTTACATTGTGAGGCGCTGGTCATTAGGCTGTGCCATGAATGAGGAGACGATTTAGGGAGAAATAGTACAAGTTTATCTGCGGTTATATGTAAAGTTTGTGGTTTTCAGTGTGAACGGTAACGCTTTGGAAACATGCAGTGGTGCGCTATGAAATGCAGGACCAAGAGCGGAGAAAACTACTGCCGATAGCGAGTGGATTCACGATACGAGGGCGAACCACTGCCATAATAATCGCGACCGCCAAGTCTATCGTGTTCATTTCGAGAGGATCGGTGGCGCTTGTCGTCATTTCGTGAGCCACGAGGTGAACGAGAGCGAGAGCGATGACGACTACTGCGATGATGCCGACTGCCACCTCTGTAGTCATCGCCCTCACTACCGCTATTACTATAGGAACGCCGGCGACGTCTACTCCCACCACTGCTGCTACCTCCACCCCTGAAATTAAAGTAGACACTTTCAGAAACACGCAAAAGCATGATCACAAGGGATAGCAGACGCACCCAAAGGAAAAATTGAAGCACAACTGATTGCAGTCATTTCGCAGAAGAGGATACAGCAAAAGTCAACTTCGAGTTTACAACGACAAGAGGCGAAGTCACAAAGGAAACATAAAAACAGAACTGATACGACAAGATGAAACACAACTTCAATGAAGAAACATGATTCCCATAACTTAAAATGTTGGTTTTACTACTTAACTGAGAAGGGTGAATAAGAAAATTATACGAATGGAGACGCCGTAACAATTGTAGCTTCCTTAAATCACGAAACTAAAGCATATCAAAGCTTCGGCTGATAAGAGGCGCGCCGATGCAGATAGAAGATACTCACTTTGAGCCATAAGACTTCATTTCTATTCCATGAAGTGTGTCCTGCAAGGAATCGATAAGGATTTTGCACCGATCATCATTTGCAATTTTCGACTGCTTAATCAGAGATATTGCGGTAACCAGCGTTTCGATTGCCCTCGAATAGTTCCCGCAAGCTGCGTCCGGAACAGCCCGATTGATAGCGGTAGAAGACACTGTCTTATTTTTTTCCATTATATCTTCAAATTCCGCCTCACTTATCTTTGATGTCTGACCTAAAATAGAAGTGAAAAATGTACAATCAGAAGCTATATCACCTGGCGTGTATGGTTGCACCACAGAGCGTCCGAACTGATCCAGCTGGGGACGGAGCACAGAAGCACCCAATTGGGTTTGAAGCAAAGAATTTGCCCCGACTGCTCCGGCTTGATTTAATCCGCCCTGCTGCAGGAAGTTGGGGTTGATATGTGCGTTGGCACCAGATGTGCCAGGTATAGCTAATGGAGGTGTAGGGATGAGGCTTGATCCAGGGTTAGCAGAGAGAGTTGTAGGTAGGCTGAAACCAGACATGAGCAAATCTACGGAGGTGTATGAATGGAAAATATAAAATTACTTTGAAAACCTTGGGACAGATTTGGAATACCAAGCGAGAGCGCCCCACCAGCAGAACGAGATGAGGATGCTCGACCCATGAGTGACGAGCTGCCCCGAATACTAAATCCAAGAGACGCTGGAAGTGCAGGAGTGCTCATTAGTGGTGGGGGTAAACGTCCATTACCTTTAGAAGTAAGATTAGCATAAAATGACTTACTTGAACCACTGGGAATGCGACTATTCGATGCCGCACCAAGCAAGGCAGAGGCGGACGAGTTTTGAATGATTCCATCGTTGCTGGCAGCTTTCTCGAAAACTGCCAAGCTTTGTTTTGTACAGTATGTAAGAACTGGCTGTTGACCATTAATTTCAATTTTTGAGATCTTTTCCATCCCAATCTTGACAGACGATTCTGATCCAAAAACAATCACACAAAATCCCTTCGACTGCCCATTTTGGCGATTTTCATGAAATTTGATTTCCAGAATGTCTCGTATACCAATGCTGCTGAAGGCTTCCTGTATATCGACATCAGTAGACCACTATGAAAAAAGTAAAATTACAGAAACAAGCACACCCATGTAAGATTTCCTAGATATGTAGCGAACCGCTTTCCTGTATGAGGAGGCTGCGCTGGTGCAGCAACAGGTTTAACCTGGATGAGCTATTAAGATACATGCAATACTTACCTTTGAGTCGGAACTAGTGTGCTCGGGTTTCGAAGACGGTGGTATTATGACATCATCGTAGAGTTCGGCAAGCTCATTAGATTCCTTAAAAATACAAAGGAGACAACACCAAACCTGGACGAAATCTTCCTCAATATTATCGTACAAGTCTATTTCAGCACCGTTATCCATTATAGCACAGTCTTCTAGACAGAGTAAAACAAACTCTCATGAAAAAGTAATCACTATATAAATACACCACAGAAATTGATGTATGCAGCTATGTTTCAAATAAATTGAAAAATATACTTATGCTGTTTGTGGTGGCTAAAAAGCTGGGTTTTGAGTCCCTAATTCGATAATTTACACAGCGCTTTAGATAATTTGCCGTCACCCTCCTTATTATCCGGTACGTACTATAATCACGGTAAAGTATTAACTGCATCACAATCAAATTTAAATTTTGGGGATATTTTGAATTGCTTTATAAAAGCTATTTAAATATCGGAGTCAGTATTTTATGGACATTAAACATGGCATGTGTTGCTAACAAAATCGTGCATTTGAGTAAGCTCTCTTGTCCCCTAAAACATAGATCTAATGATTACCAAAGTGAGTGATTTCTTCCTTTTTTGTTGTTCTGTCGGACTACGATTACCGGATGTGAGCTTGTCAGGTGCGCGATTTGGTGGGTATCTTGCTACTGCTCTAACTCCCTAGCTCTGGCTTTTTGCCTCCCGGGCGTCCTGCTTCTGGCACGCAAGGAGCACCTAGGATACCCTTCGACCATTGCAAGCTTCTTCAAGTTAGGCTTCACCTTGTTTTAAGGTAACTGGGCGAAAGCAGACCCCCCCGCCATTTTCAGCAATAAGTACTACCCTGAGCTGGCACAAGTCAGGGTGCTTTTGGTCTTTGTACACATACCAACCTCTCATCCCGAGGTCTGCAGCCGCGATATCTCATCATGGCCACTTGAGGTCTGCAGTGCAACAATGCGGACTAGGCCTAGCAATTCGCTACCCTGTAAATAGATGCACTCCAAACCCACATTGAAGTGAAGGGTTTAGTTTTAATCTTACAATGCTGTTGAATCAGCGAGACATTTCAGGTTAGTTGAAAGCTGAAATTGTTGAGCTCATCCTTAGTAGCGAAAAAGAGGGAGTCGGAAATGCAAATACTTTTGGTGAATTCAGTTTAAATACACGAAAATAACAGTTGAAATTGGGTGGCACAGCCCACCAACACAGTGGGAAACGGGGCCGACGGAGATGGAGACCAAAAATGTACTGCTAGTCCGCAGGGTCCTACCCGAGTTATTACCTAAAGTGTAAAGCAAGTAACAGCACTAACTGTAACAAGGGGAGTGGAATCACACACCAAACACCTTACAAGTGGGAGCGGGAAACGGATGGCGCATTATTGTCTATGCAAGGCGGGGGGCGAGAGCTAAAATTAGGAAAATAGTAAAAGGCGACTAGACCGTTGCACCTCGGTTCTTCAGTTTACGGGAGACTGCTTGCCACTAATAATAAATGCAAAAAATAGTCATCTGCACATGATTACTTTGTAAGGCACTACATCATTTAAAGGTAGGCGCAATGGCATATACGCGTGTTCTGTGTACATCAAACGAGGAAGTGGCTACACGCAAAGTCCCCAAAACTCTCCGTGACTAAAAAGTAAGAAGTAGAAAATGGAGTCATTTTTAACTAACGACAAGAGTGTGATGCTCACGACCGTCCACCAAGCTGTAATCACGGAAGCCATACTCCAAATAGTACCGAATTAAGCATTCACTGGTATCGGTCCCGCTTTTCATGCAAATTACTCCGTCTGCTTCAAAACAGGCCTCTGCTTGCAATACAGCTCACAAGAGAAGGTTTACAAAGTGGAAATAAATTAGCAACGATGGGAGTACGCTTGGTGACTCAATGAAGTGAATTTATGCTACCAGACTTTTGAATGCATGATTAGATTGTGACCTTGATGATTTCACTGTAGCCTTGTGGACAATTTTTGGACTTCGAAAAGTAGACAAGCTGTATGGCTCCAGAGCGACATCGCTGCAAGACACCGGCGTCGACCTTTGCCTTAAGCAGGGGATACGTTTTGTTGAACCTGGATATGGGTATGCAATTGCGCACAACGGCGAGTTTTTCACTGCGCTTCATGTCCCCCTCGACCAGATCATCTATAGTCGAGCCCGAACTAGAGAGGGTAGAGTTAGAGCTGAATACAGAGACGAGATCATCCTTCCAGAGATTGTAGAAGTCGATGGGCAGCACCGCAATCCAGTCCAAGTTGCGCACGCGCAGAGTGGCAGGGGGGTGCAGCTCAAGGCCCTCACAGGAGACGCTCAGACGTGTCCGCGCCACGTCCAGGAGGTTGTTTGGAATCTGTTTCTCCTTCATCGCCATCGCCACACGTGTCGGTGCCTCAGCGGTGACCAATAACTGTTGCGATTCATTGGAGGGGCATCGTGAGTAGACTTCGCTAGAGCTGAAGCGGATGGGGATGTGGTACTGAATCTTCCGTGAGCGCGATCGATCGCCCAGTAGGCCCTCCGTCGTAAGTGGAGGCGGGTCCATTGCCACGTAGAGGAATCTGAGGTCCTTGTCAACCGAATGTGCTGCATACGTAAAAAGTTACAGTCACAGTGAGATGTTTTATGCAAAGGTCACGCACAAGCCCTTTATGAGAGCATCATGACAAATTGTAGCAACGAATCAGAGAGATTAAGCTGTGCAACGGCATATATTAACACAAAAAAACGAAAACAAGAATTGGCACATTCAATAAACAATACCTGTGAAACGATTGTTAACTAAGTGGAACTGAGGTGGTTGATTTAATGAAAGGCGCCGCAAACACTTCGATCACAGATCCAAATTCAGTAATTTTCCAACTCAAATTGGATACCACTCAAAATCATCGCACTGGCAAATTATCATTTTTCATCAGATTAACCACTTCAGAATTAATGCTTGCCACGGATAGAGGATCAAACTACACAGAGAAACGTGGAAACTAGCTTAGTGGCTACCTCGTCTTGAACAATATATTGTAGAAAATTATGCCGAAACGGCGAGTTTCGCAGTCACAGGATGGGTAGAGAAACCGAACGAATGGGTAATTCTGAAGGATTTACAATCAAATACTTCTCATTAGGACGTGCGGGATATAAATCAAGTTTGAAAGACAAAAGAAAATGAAAAATTAGGGAAATTTCGTGACTCATCAACTTACTCAAGAATAGAATGGATAAAAAATTGTGGCACTAGGATTATTACGGATGATATACATTCAAAAGTGCAAGTCTTCGAATGACTCGATTTCTTATCGATAAGGAGCCATCAGTAGAATTAGATCTGTTAAAATCACAAGGCGTCAAACACTAGTTTGCTACGGTCGGAAAAGTCCAACCGGATGCAAATGTAAAGAGGGA